ATAAATGCCAAAGTGAGTGCTTGGTAATTCAGATTACCTGAGTAATTTTAGAGTGAATTCCCTCATAGGAACTCATCAATACTATAATAATATATGCAAGACAGGATGGGCTACACTCATTTCATTGGTACTTTTTAATATGCTAATGTTGTTCAAATACACATATTTTCACAGTCAATTCTCAATTCTTAGTACTGATGGAGGGCAACAACAATGTGGATAAACCCACATTGAATGATCCCAAATAACTGCATATGGTTTTGAATTTGTGTCTGAGGATGGGTATGTCTGAAGTGAGATTTCATACACATTACAACCAAAAATTAAGTCACATTACAAATACCTAATGAAAAAAGAGATATACAGTTTATTTATCTTTGCCCTGGTTCAAATAATTCTTGGTTCTAATACTGGGGAAGTGAAAGTATCATTTCTCAGACTAAGAAAATCACCAGCTCAAAACTCAGTTGTACGTTCACTGCTCCCTTACTTGCTTTTTGGTTTCCTGAATCACATTAGTAATAATTCATGTTTCAAAAAATTCATCTTTTTTGCATGAATAAAAATAATGATGTTATCAAAAATAATTAAAAATAAGTGATTTTAATGAGAAGGTGGAAATGTGTTTTCTGTAGGTAATCTGTTTCTGCAAAATTGTGAATAGATTGCATTAACAAATCTGGAAACTGACTTCTTTGAATGTGGGGCAACAGCAGCAATATTTTCACATCTTTGATATTTTGATTGTGTTTTAAAAATTCACATGGTAGAAATATTTTTAAAAATCATAACTAACACTTCAACAATAAGTGAAAGGAATATTTTCGGTGTTTTATATTGAGTATAAATATATGCATGTGTGTGTCTATGTATATATATATTATACAAACACACACACAGATTATTGAATATGTACCTGTCCATTTGAGAAGCTGCGTCACCTATTTACTAGATTGCAAGCTTCAGTGAATGAAAACTGGAGCTCAGGTTCTGCCTCTGACACATATATCTGTGTTGTCACTGCCTGGTCACTTAAATCAGCTTTCTAAGAGTATGAGTTGCAGTTGAGCTGCCAATCTGCATAAATAAAGGAATTTGCTAAACGCTGTGTTCCCTGTGTCTACCATACGTCTAGATAAAAAAAAAAAGGAAGAAAGAAAAAGAAAAAAGAATAACTTATAAGAATTTCCATCAATTTATCACTAGCTAATGACATATAATGTAGAATAAAAGTACATTACTATGGGAAAATATCATACAAATGAAACAACAGATTCCAACCAATCATGTGAATTTCAATTTGCCCTGATTTAATGATTCACATATTTTTTTTATTATGTGCTTAGACTATGGAACATAAGCTTCTGTGAACAAATGAAGCACAAGAAAAAAGAAATGATATGTTGAACCAGGAAAATTCATCTTCCTGAGTTCAAATCCAGCCTCTAACACTTACTAGCTTTGTGACCCTGGGCAAGTCACTTAACCCTGCTGGCCTCAGTTCTTCATTTGTAAAACAAGCTAGAGAAGGAAGTGGCAAACCACTCCAGTGCCTTTGCCAAGAAAATCCCAAAATGAGAAAGTTGGACATGACTGAAAGGATTGAACAACAATAACAAATGAAAAATATAAAAGCCCATCATGTCATACATGCCATCTTCAATGCTATAATAAGGACAGTTACAGCGGGACACAAAGTCCTTGAGTCTTTCTCCCCTTCTAGTTCTGTACTATTTCCCCAATATTGCTGCTATCTCCTCTGACATTTGCCTCCTCTTCCCTTTTCCACTACAAAAATATATATCCAGTTCATCATCAGGTCTCAATGTGATGATTTTTGACAATTTTACTTTCCTATTTCTTATTTTCCTCATCTCCAGACAGATCAAAATACTACAAAGACCTTATTTAATCACCAATATGATAATGTGATCACTCCGTCTGTCCCTTTCCATTTACACTAAATAAACTGATCATTTTTTACATTCAAACTTCCTGTATCCTTGACTCCCCATAGGTTTCCACTCGTTTACTCTTATTGATTGAAACATATATCATTCCTTCCTTCTTAACCTAGAGTTTTGTTTTGTTTTGTTTTTAAAACACGGTCCTATGATATCCTTCTCCTATTACCCAATAAGCATTTGCCTTCATCTCTTTCAAATCAGTGTCTTTCCTGTATAACAATAGCAACCTAAAGACAAGTGTCAGTCATTTCCAGAGAAAAGCACCTCCTTCACCTAACAACCTTCAACAGAAGTTATGGAAAGAGTGAGATATCTGCCCAAGGGCACCAGAACACAGTGAAAAGAAATGAATCAGATGTAACAAATTTTGTGAATTGCCTAATATAGAAGGATTTTTTTTTTTTGGTTAGATGGTTACTGGGTTAAATTGCTGAGAGAACAGATCACCAGGAAAAGGAGGCCTAAAAAGCCTTCTGCTAACCCATTTCCTTCTGAAGTGACAAGTCCCTGATAGGGAAGGGGAAGCAAAGACTAGACTTTTTTCTTTCTTTCTCTTTCTTTCTTTCTTTCTTTCTTTCTTTCTTTCTTTCTTTCTTTCTTTCTTTCTTTCTTTCTTTCCTTCTTTCTTTCTTCATTCCTTCCTTCCTTCCTTCCTTCCTTCCTTCCTTCCTTTCTTTCTCTCTTTCTCTCTTTCTCTCTTTCTCTCTTTCTCTCTTTCTCTCTCTCTTTCTCTCTTTCTCTCTTTCTCTCTTTCTCTCTCTCTTTCTTTCTTTCTCTCTTTCTCTCTTTCTTTCTTTCTTTCTTTCTCTCTTTCTTTCTTTCTTTCTTTCTTTCTTTCTTTCTTTCTTTCTTTCTTTCTTTCTTTCTTTCTTTCTTTCTTTCTTTCTTTCTTTCTTTCTCTTTCCAGTCTCCCACACTCCCTTACACCCAGGGAAACATCACCCAATGAGATAAAAGTCAACACACTTCTTATTGACTATATTAAATTAGACACAGTCTAAATAAATATATGGTAATCAAAAACAGACAAAATCTTGAATTTAGAACCATAAAAGAGAATGAAAATGATTGCTACATCTAATCCTGATGGTTTTAAAATAGAGATAAAAATGGATAGGGACTCCATTACTTCAAAACTTCTCTGACTGACAAGGAATCAAAAATCTTTTTACATCAATGATGATCCCTTAATGGGTTTTTTCCAGAGACTGCTTCAAGCAGATCAATACCAGAAAAGTGATACACACCCAAAGATGTAGTTCAGATATTCAGGCAGAAAGAGGAGAACACATGTTAAAGAACACTGTGTCCTAGGAAGTACCAAGAAAAGCCAAACTTTGAGGAGAATGATTTCAGAGTAGCATTGAAGATATATCTTGCCATGAAGAGAAGGGTGTTTCCTAGAATTTGACGTTCCTTTCTTAAACATAAGTTTTAACCAACTTTCTTTTCACTGTAATTAAAGAGAAAAAGCTTTTATCTTATTTGCCATATTTCTCTTTATTAGGAGAAAGACCTTTAATTTGATATTATAGATCCCCACTTCAGCTGTTAAGTTAGAGGTTAAATTTGATGTTCATTTTGAGTGAAATTGATAGGCTTTATGAATCCACTGAAATTTCGTATCTCAAACAGTCATAAGTTTCCAAAAATATCTCTCCATGCATAACACACCTCTTGCCTAAAATCGGGTGTCCTTTATGTTATTTCATTAATTCAGTTTTGGAGAGCAGTAAGAAATACTATTCATTACCAAGTTACTTTTATTGTTGTTGTTACTGTTGTTGCTTTTTGTAAACTAGAGACCTCTAGAATCCTTCTATAATCGTGCTGGCTACCAAACCTGAGCATCCTAAGCTTCTTCTCAAGATCAGGGGAATCAGCTATTTTCCTTGTAAGTGGTAGCTATGTCACCAAATACCTAGAGTTAATGGATAAATTGAGATCATTAACACAGTCAAAGTAAATTTCAAGGAAAAAAATATTCTTATTGGGAAAAAAAATCTTCTTTTTCCAGAAGACATTTAATGGTACAGTTATTTAGATTTTTTTCCTTAAATAGCCTTACTTTAATTGAATTTAAATCAATCCTCATCTGAAATCTTTCTTTTTTCTTTTCTTCAACAACATTCACTGGTATGTGTGTATTTCCCTGTCTTAATTTCCATATGAAGATACGGAGGAGAAGGAAAATTATCTCAAAACAATCAATTCTGTTCTCTTCTGTCAGAGGGAATAATGGTAGATGAGGCATTTAGTATCAGGTTTGAGTATTACCTATGGATTTTGTTTCTTTATCCTTATTCTTGTCTACAAATTAACATTTATAATGGAAAACTGATTTTTCTACACATGTTTCTTTATTTCCCTAGTCTCCTTTGTCATTCATCTCTCCCTCTCTCTCTCTCTCTCTCTCTCTCTCTCTCTCTCTCTCTGCTTGCCTACATATCTACATTTTTCAGTCTAGACCTCTGATTTCCTTAATGAAAGGAACTCCCTTTATTTGGAAATACTATCTATTTGTGGTAACAGACAGCATTTTGATCATGTCCCTTTAACAGTTGCCTAGGACATGGTGAGGTTTCAATAACTTGGCCAAGGTCCCACGGCCAATAAGTGTCACAGACAGATTGAACCCACCTCTTCCTGTCTTTCAACTTCAAAGTTTTGCATATAACTTTCTACTGATAAAACATTAAAATTGCTGCCCTCTTTATCTGAATTCTCATCATTCAAAGTCTTTCATTTTATTTCAGTCTACCTCAATACAAAAATGAAATAAATAGAAACCTCACTTGCGAAATACATATAATGAGCACTGGGATAATTATTCCTAACTCAATATCAATGATTTTTCACTACAAATGGTCAGGTCTTCTATGCTTCTTTCAAATGCATATTTTATAATAATGCACATTATAAAAATTACCATCTTAGAAATAAATGCATCCATCTACCAATCATACTACAACATAAGCAAAGCCCTGTGCAAGAGAGTACATTTTCAGTCAATAAAACCAATGCCATACTCACGGTGAAGGTTGGTGGGACTGGTTTTCAGCATTCCTTGGTGTTTTGCGGGCCGCAGGTTTCGCCATATCCCTGACAACACACCTGGGGCGCATGATAGACAGCACAATGGACTATTAATGTTCAAAGGCCTAGAACACACCTAGAAATCTGATCAGTCTAACAAACAGGCCACTGGGGGGAAAATCTAAGAGGAAAAGCCTGTAAAAGTCCCCCCAATGATAAGACTGCTGACCTGGGGAAAAAATACTTTGCATATGGGTGTATTCCCCAGTTTTAAACTTACAAGTTCTCCTTTCCTATCTTGGAAAGGCCTAGGCTATTCTCTGTACATTTTTTTTTCTCTTAGTGAAAAGGAAAATATTCCAAGCATCTTTCTTCATAGCTGAAACGCAGCTATGAGCTGTGGCCAACATAGGGCCATTAGAAGAAGAAAGATGCATGCTTAAAAATAGGATGGCAGCTTTTATATGCTTCACCAATGGGCAGGCTTTTATCTGTCTTTGTCTATTTGGGCTAAAACACACACCACCTCAGAGGCAGCTTCTTTATGCAAACAAAGTTAAGAAGCTTGGGCACTGTTCCTCCCTTAAAAGCCCCATCCAAGCTAATTCAGGAAGAGCTGGGTGGGAACCTTTCACTATCTAGAATATTGGTTTTAAAATAATGATACTCAGTAGGGAAAACCCAAACTCTATGTGACAAAAAATAAAAGGGCATGGTGCTTTGTTTCCCTCATCACTAGTAATCAAATGCAGTGAGGAACAATATTTCCAATATGTTGGATACATAGCAAAAAAAGATGGGCAAAAAAAGAGAAGGGAGACTGTTCCTCAGTAAAACAATTGAAAAGAAAAGAAAAACCAAGCCACAAGGATCTTTACAGTGTTTGGGTCACTATGGAAGGCATGTTTTCCTGGGGGCCCCACTAGCGGAATGAGCCAAGTTGTTTTCTCTGTATCTAATAGGATGTAAGCAACTTGAGAGGAGGAATTTTGATATGAGTTGTTTTGTTTTGTTTGTTTTTTGTTTTTGTTTGTTTGTTTGTGGTTTTTTTGGTCTTTGATATTCCCAGCTCCTAACAAAGTGCTTGATACAAAGTAGGTGCTTAATAAATACACATTGATCGATTATGTCTATTTTGTTTCTGAACTTGGAGGAGAAAAGAAACTAGCCTATGGCTTTATTGGCCCTTGAGATAATTTTAATTTTGGTTAGAAACTAAAACATAAGTTTGTTTCTTCGTTTTTGTTTTTTCTCCCTGAGGTTCTTATTTTAAAAGAGGGAAGATACAGTAATAGAACTGAGATTCCCTTATGCTGGATTTTATTCTGAACTGAGCCTGCCCACCGGACCCCAGGCTTTAAATGGTCTTTGTAAATGGTTTCGGGGGATGAGTTAGTAATTCTTTCTGGTTGGCTTCACAGAAAGCCTCATCACCAGCTTCCTCCTGAAACAAGTCATTTATACACCACTCAGAAGTGGAGCTAAGATCAGGCAGTAATCGATAACCAGCTTTACCAGTGGGAAAAGCTGCAGGGCTAAATTCTCCACTTCTGAAAAAAAAATACACGATTTCACGGGAACACAGAGATACACACACACAAACACACACATACGACTTGTTCTAAAGTAGATGAACTAAAACATCAGTGCACTTTCCTTCTAGGATTTATTCATTCATTTTATCTAGTTATCTACCAACTTACCTACCCATTCATCTCTCTACTCACTCACCTACCTACCTACTTGTTTTGTCAATGATTTAATTACTATAGAGAGCTCAAACAGAAGAAATTTAATTCATTACATGTATCCACAGATCATCTGTGAAATATTATCTTAGTTGCGTGGGGGCATAGAGAAATTCCAGTAACTTACCCAAGGTCACAAAACCAGTAGCAATCAGAGACAGAGCTGGAACACAGGTCTTCCTGACTTGGCATAATGGATACAGGGAAATTTTTTGTGTTTGTGTGCATGTGTGTATGTGTTTATATGTACACATACATGCCAATATGTATGAGGTACTAAAGAAATTATATATAGAAAAATCTTATGTGTTGTATGTATTTATCCAAACTTCCAATATAAAAATATTAGCAATGTGAAAAGTACTTTATATATCATTATAAAGCATGAGGGACATTGTGGATAAAGTGAGGATTATCTGAGTTAGAATTCTATATTGGGTACTTAATGAGATATGTGACCCTGGATAAATTATATCATCTCTGTGGCTCAATCCCCTCATTTATAAAATGAGGGAGTTTAGACTCTACTTCGAAGGTCTCTTCCAGTTCTAACTATATGATCCTATGATCCTGTGTATGTGTATCTATGTATGTATAAGCACATGCATGTACATAAATGTAATGTAAAGCATGATGCTAAGTCTGGCTTTCTGTACTTTACATGACACTGTCTCTCCCACTACATAATGTATATAAAACACTTAACCAATTAAAAAAAAATTATAGACATTTGTACATACATAAACACATACATATATTGTCTACCTTTCTCTTTCTCTTTTATCTCTCATCTATTTACCTATCTATCCATCTATCATCTATCTACCTTTCTCTCTCGGTCCCCAACACTCTGTCTCTCCCTCTTTCTGTCTCTCTATCTCTGCCTCTGTCTCTATCTGTCTCTTATTCTCTGTTTGTGTCTGTCTGTCTCTCACTATATCATATCACTCTGTCACTCTTTTTCTCTGTCTCTCTCTATTGCTGTCTCTCTGTCTCTGTCTCTGTCTGTCTTTCTGTCTATCTCTCACTCTATCTCTGTCTCTTTCTCCCTCTGTCTGTGTCTGTCTGTCTCTCACTCTATCTCTGATTATCTGTCTCTCTCTGTCTCTGTCTGTCTGTCTGTCTGTCGGTCTGTCTCTTTCTCTCTCTCCTCAGGAAAATCAGGGAAACCTAGCTTCAAGTTTCACCTCGGATAATTTGCTGTGACCCTGCCACTTAAACTCTTGGTGCCCCCTAGGCAATTTATTAAGTCTCCACAATGCATACTAGCTGCTGATCTGTAGCAATGAAAGAAGTTTCTTCATTTGGAGTTTACCATGACAATAAAATAATAAATCCAGTCAAAATATCTATGAATCTGAGGCTAAGTTGCTGATTGTTTCACCCTAAAAGCATGTCTTCAGTGAAAGCAGGGAGCTGAACCATAAGCCTCAGCAGAAACTAAACACATGTATCTGGTTCTATGAAGTGGGCAAAACTAAAGAATTAGAACTAAGAAAACATTCAGGCAGGACCTTGGTGGAGAGAATTAATGTACTAGAACTTCTGAGTGTTGAAATTCTGTTCAGATCTGTACCAGGGGCACAGTGCCCAGTGAGGTAGCATGCACAGTACTAGGAATCTTTAGGGATCCTTCCTCCCCTCTAAAAATAGTTAGTATAGCATATTTAATCTGTCTGCACTACTTTATGAAAATGTCTGAAATATCACAAACTTTGGAGAAATTCTTGAAGGAAGAACTATATCTGTATGGAGCCATATGCTTCCTTCTTCCCTGGTCTCTCCTTCCTTCCTTCTAAATTTACAGATATTTGTAAAGCTTCAATGTGCTAGTTAATTGGCTTTTCCTGAAAGATGTTCTGGTGCAGCTATGCCTCTTCCAGTAACCAGGGCATGCCAGCAAAGTAGAAAGCATGTGTTTCTAAGTGAAACTGTTTATAGCTGAGTGATGGGCCACATCCTATGAAAGAATGTTCATGTCTGAGGTGAGATTCCTGATTCAGTACTGTTATTGATTTAGGTTTCTGTAGTTTTTTTTTAATCCAAACTACATCAGAATTTACTTTGTTCTTCCTCTCTCCCTCCTTCCTTCCCTCCCTCCCTTTATCTCTTCATTTTTCCCTCCTTCCCTCCATCTGTCCCTCTCTCCCTTCCTTTCTTCTTTCCTACCTCCTTCCCTCTGTCTCACTCATTTCCATTCCTTCCTTCCTTCCTTCCTTCCTTCCTTCCTTCCTTCCTTCCTTCCTTCCTTCCCTCCTTCCTTCCTTCCTTCCCTCCCTCCCTTTATCTCTTCATTTTTCCCTCCTTCCCTCTATCTGTCCCTCTCTCCCTTCCTTTCTTCTTTCCTACCTCCTTCCCTCTCTCACTCATTTCCATTCCTTCTTTCCTTCCTTCCTTCCTTCCTTCCTTCTTTCCTTCTTTCCTTCCTTCCTTCCTTCCTTCCTTCCTTCCTTCCTTCCTTCCTTCCTTCCTTCCCTTCTTTCTTCCTTCTTTCCCTCCTTTCTTCTTTTCTTCTTTCTTTCTTTCGTTCCTTCCTTTCTTCCTTCTCTTTTTACCTTTTTACTGCTAATAGTCTCTGAATGGTAAATTCCAATTCTAAAATACTACAATTTTAAGCTTAAGTATGCTGTACTGAAGCACAACCACCTTCCCAAATGTTACATCTGATGCTTACTAACAGGGCTAATCCTGGTCCTGGACTCTGAACCTCTGTTTCCTCATCTGTAAACTGGGATTAATAATATTTATTATTATTATATATAATAAATATATATATATATATATACATAAAAATATAATAATATTTATAGCTAAGAAGCAGCCTGGCATAATGATTACAAGATTGCCTTAGAGTGGTTAAGCCTGGTTTGAGGTTGTCCCTTGATATATACTAGCTATGTGACCATATGCAAGTCATTTTGACCATGTATGCCTCAGGAGTCTCTAAAACTATTAGTTGCAACTAGTTACTGATTTACATTAGTGAAGGGAATCCACTCCTTCTACGGATAAAATGTGTGTATGTGTGTGTGTATGTGTGTATCTGTAGATCCTATTTCACAATTATTTGTTCATAAGAATCTAGATTTAGAACTAGAAGAGACCTTTGGGATCATCTAGTTTAACCTCTTCATGTTACATATAAGGAAACTGAAATGTAGATATGCCTAGTGGCTTGTCCAAGATCACATGCTTCATAAGTGGTAGATCTGGACTCAAGTCTTTGTTCTTTAGAGCCAACCTGCTTTGCACTTCCACCGGTCATATGAAGCTCAAATCAGATGTATTTAAGGTACTTTACAAATCTTACAATACTATTTTATGTTGTTT